ACATCTAAGGGTCTACTGGATGACACCGTGGAGTTATGCCGCAATGAAGATTTAAATATAGTTTGTCTAATATATTTATATTTATATTATTTGTGTAACTAAACATCTTAAAAACTGTTGATATATTATTATTGTTTTTTAAAGTATATATATATATTTATTTTAAAATTGTTTTATTTTAGTGTAATTCCCACTACCCTCCTATTCCTCTTTTTTTTTTAATTTATATTTTTTTTTAAATTTTTTTTTTTTTTGGCGCCCCCCCCCCCCCCCCCCCCCGGTTTATTTCAGAAGTGACCAGCTGTCGGCTGTGTTGTTCAGAAATGGCCAGCTGGGGCTGTGTTGTTCAGAAATGACCAGATGTGGGCTATGTTGTTCAGAAATGACCAGCTATGGGTTGTGTTGTTCAGAAATGATCAGCTGTGGGCTGTTTTGTTCAGAAATGACCAGCTGTCGGTTGTGTTGTTCCGAAGTGACCAGCTGTGGGCTGCGTTGTTCAGAAATGACCAGCTGTGGGCTGTGTTGTTCCGAAGTGACCAGCTGTGGGCTGTGTTGTTCAGAAATGACCAGCTGTGGGCTGTGTTGTTCAGAAATGACCAGCTATGGGTTGTGTTGTTCAGAAATGACCAGCTGTCGGTTGTGTTGTTTGTCCTTTACACGCGAAGATGACCAGGGCAATATTCAACTCAAAGACTAGCCTTGGCTTGAGCTGCTTTTTTGGTGTGTTTAAAGTGAGGGAGAGCTGCTCATTCATCCCCCTGACTCTCTCATCCTTGCCTATTTGATCCAACGGCAAGACTTAGCCAATGCAACTGGAAATAGACCAAATATTCAGCGTGTGTGAATGTGTGTGTATCACTGTGCGCCTTATGCGTTCTAAGTCGCAGGAGTTGTTGGATGTTTCATTGTGTCAGTGTCATACCGCCTACGTGACTCAATCTCCGGGTTTTGAATTAAGAGTTTGCCTTCTCTTAGCTGAGTTGCCATCCAAGGTTAACGGGCCCCCCCCTCCACCCGGGGTGCTGGTCGTATTTTAAAATGTGCGTGTCTGTGCGTTTTCTTGGAATTTCCAGTCCATGCACTAGCTCGAGATTGACTCAGTTCAGACGGCTCGGCTACTGAGCTATGGGTTAAAAGACCAGACTGGGTGCATCAAGCTACGTTTTTACGTGGCCCGCTAATTGAATGCATATTTCTATTATCCTATACTAGTGGGCTGGGTAAATGCCTGAGCACGATTCTATGAAAGGACCATATCAATTGAAATTGGTTTCCAAATTAAAAAGAGCTTTTTATAGGTGATATATTTTTCCCCATCTCGTAAATCAGATTTTTAATTTTTATTTCTTCTCTTATCAATGTATGTCATCAGTACACCGATGTAGATTTCAGTCCTCAATTTAATTCACTTTTTTAATGTTAATTACATGACCTTGATGTAATATTTACCCGTGTGCCTTGTAGGTGAGTGGTTGTTAGTGAAAATACAGCTTTTAGTGGCAATTTTTTTAGCTTACAAGTCTAAAGAAAGCTGGTCTCGAGAATCATTGCTTTTCATTTTGCTCTGAGAGTACGGTAACCAGAGAAGTACATCTGTTGCCAGCTATGCGTGTTTCGTCATACTTTGAACCACCTGTAAAATCCAGAGTGATCTGACATCTTTACTGAATGTTTCTCATATTTTGAAAACCCTGTAAAAAGTTCGTTATGCAGAGTTATCCACCGTGTTCATCGCTACTCATATAGTCTTAGAATGTTTGTCACATAATATACAACATAGATATGTATTTTTTGGGGTATAGTGTCAATTTGATGTCTCTATTTCCTTTCACCACACACAAAGAACAAATAAAGCTGTAGTCACCAAGGTCTCCGTTCAGGTATTAAAATATATTTTTTTAAAAAGGGCTCTATTGACCTCAACACCTCACCACTAGGCACCCGGCTACAAAAATGGCGGCTCTATTGACCTCAACACCTCACCACTAGGCACCCGGCTACAAAAAGGACTCTATTGACCTCAACACCTCACCACTAGGCACCCGGCTACAAAAGGGGCTCTATTGACCTCAACACCTCACCACTAGGCAGCCGGCTACAAAAATGGCGGCTCTATTGACCTCAACACCCCACCACTAGGCACCCGGCTACAAAAAGGGCTCTATTGACCTCAACACCTCACCACTAGGCACCCGGCTACAAAAAGGGCTCTATTGACTTCAACACCTCACCACTAGGCACCCGGCTACAAAAAGGTCATCGCACGGCACCGTGCGTGTTTAAGATGAGCCCCCGTTACTGCCTCACAAGCGCGGCCTTACAACGAGTTTAGCATCCACTTCTATTGGAATATCAGCACGAGGGCTGCACTTTTGCGCAAGGTCACGGTTATATTTTAACATTTTTATTACTCTTACCGTTAAAACGTACAGGAATATGGCCGCTCCGCAGCGGAGAGTTCTAGTTTTGTTGCAGTTGTGTGTGTGTGTTTATGTGTGTGTGTGTGTGTGTGTGTGTGTATGTGGGTGTATTGATAATAAGAACAGTGACGGGGCGCGGGGGGGTGGGGGGGGGGGTAAAGGCACGATTTATCGGTTTTGTTGTGAGGCTAAGATTTCGACACTGACCCGGCAGGAGCACGGTGATATCGCTGAATTGATGTCGACCAAAGTGCTGGCAGTGCCATAAGGTTGGTGTTCAATGCAACTGCCAGGAAGTCCGTCTGAAATTTTTTAGACTCGTGAAATAGACATCATTCCCCATAATGTCACAATGACAGCGTTCAAGCTGACTGGGCTGTGACCGGGGGGGGGGGAAGCACCGTCCACATCTATTTGCGCTTCGTACCACGTGCCTCTCGTCTTATAGTCGCCCTACCCTTTAGCGACGTCTCGCGGCTTCTTTGCACTCTGGTGGTGCACGAAGATGACCTTTAGCTCTTTCCCACGTGATATAACCCCCCGAAAGAACTGTTATGAGGTTTGTAACATACACGTTCGCCAATCGCGAGTCGAAGAGACGTGGAGACGTTCACATTTCAAACAAAACTGCCGATCAATCATTCAAGGGTTTTCTAATCTTTATTTTTTTTGGTCTCCGCTTGCTGTTGAGAACAGAGCAACATACTTCAAGTGGGCTGATGCTTAAACAAAGTAGTACCCTGGAAAAGAACCGGATTTTAACACTCCCCCCCCCCCACCCTCACACAAAAAAAAAATCTTTGGCATAACCTATCTGCACTTAAATAAGTGGGGTGATGCTTAAACCAAGTAGTACTCTGGAAAAGAACCGGATTTTAACACCCCCCCCCCCCACCCTCACACAAAAAAAAAATCTTTGGCATAACCTATCTGCACTTAAATCAAGGATGGTTTGCTCGACATCGCTGATACAAATGAGATAGTCTACGTCACTCCTGACAGCTTATCTCGTAACGCCATCAACTCATAAGAGCGCAATATTCCTTTGGCATTCAGAGAATGGGGCGAGCATTCCTCGATGGATAAGTGGGTTCACAAAAATGATTTTCGTCTGATATTGGAACTGAATTTTGTAAAGGATGATGTTTATATTTGACATCGATTACAAAATTGTCTGTGAGGCTAGTGTAAACGAGGTCGCGGGGCGCGCCAACCCGACATGTCGCGTGCAGGTTATGGCCAGGGCAATGACAGGCTACTGTATAACAATTAGTCTTAGTCACAGCGTTTGAGTCGCCGGAGATACCAACATAGGCTTTGAGTTGAATATTGACGTCTTGGCCAGGCCACCCTGATCCAGAGTGCGCACACATTTTGAATGTTGACCTCTTGGCCAGACCACCCTGATCCAGAATTAGCACAAATTTTGAATGTTGACCTCTTGGCCAGGCCACCCTGATCCAGAGTGCGCACACATTTTGAATGTTGTCCTCTTGGCCAGGACACCCTGATCCAGAGTGCGCACACATTTTGAATGTTGACCTCTTGGCCAGCCCACCCTGATCCAGAAATGGCACAAATGTTGAATGTTTATCCCTTGGCCAGACCCCGCTGATATTGAATTTGCCCCAATTTTGAAAGTTGACCTCTTGGCCAGACCACACAGATCCAGAATCGGTTGATAGGCAACTCCTAAACATTTTATGTTTCCACATGATCTCTCTTGAAATGATTGATTGAAACAATTGATTGATATTTAGTGTTTGGACAAAATCGCTAAATCTTTGATGGGACGTTTTACGAATGGGTCCCTTGTGAATGTTAGAGTTAATAAGGTTTGGGAACCATTTCTAAAATGAATCTAGAATTGCGATCGAGTAGCGAATAAAATTGTATGGAGTCGATTACTTTTTTTAATGAATCTCGAATCGCATGTCGGAGGGGCAGATGTACAATTTAAAAAAAAAGACATATTCTTTGGTGAACTCGTATGTTACATCTATGTTGCAGTCATTTGTTTATAAAAAAATATATTTTAATTGCAATTCTAGTAGCCATATTTGCGATGCAGGTGACTGGTCTCATTGTAACTAATTTTAATAATTTAAATTTAATGAATGGATTTTTTTCAATTTAACAAACGTGAATCTAAGATCAAATCGTTATTTAAAAAAAAAATTTTTTTTCGGTTTGACCACCACAAAACGTAACATCGGTCCACTGCTTGTAAGTGGAATAACTATTTAAAAAAGAAAAAATTGTTTTCACTAATTTACACTTCAATAAATACATGTAACATCTGCTCTTATTTATTGAAACTTCATGTAACCCAGGCCGCTGAGTTTTGGCGGGGGGAAAAAAGAGGGGGGGGGTTCCAAGAAATTCACTTGGATTTTCAAATTTGACAGATCCCTGATATTGGACATTATTGAATATATAATGAATTATATTTTGAATTATATATCAAATGTGAATGATATTTTGTCTATATAGTGTCGTCACATTTATTACTTTAAAAAAGAGTTAAATTTGTATTAGGTTGATACAAAATAAAATTGTTTTATTTTAATTGATCCATTTCAGGGGTGTTATTAAGATTGTTTTTTTACAAGTGGCCAGGATGTCATTCGTGTGGCTCATCTTAATGGCTCTTCAGATGTTCTCAGAATTGACTACAAGTAACCCAAATTTATCCCAGGGATTTACACCTGCTGACATCACCGATTTAGTTTACAAAGTACAGGTGAGTTAAACGTAATTATTTTTATTGGTAAGTCTCATGCATAGTCTGAAAAAAGCACACGTAGCCGAACTCAGTCCAATTCATACATGGCCAGTAAATACAAAGCTCAAACAAAGCCTAGCCATACAAAGCCTAGCTCATTAGAGGCCTAGCTCATACAAAGCCTAGCTCATTAGAGACCTAGCTCATACAAAGCCTAGCTCATTAGAGGCCTAGCTCATACAAAGCCTAGCTCATACAAAGCTTTGCACATACAAAGCCTAGCTCATTAGAGGCCTAGCTCATACAAAGCTTTGCACATACAAAGCCTAGCTCATTAGAGGCCTAGCTCATACAAAGCCTAGCTCATTAGAGGCCTAGCTCATACAAAGCCTAGCTCATTAGAGGCCTAGCTCATACAAAGCCTAGCTCATACAAAGCTTTGCACATACAAAGCCTAGCTCAATAGAGGCCTATCACATACAAAGCCTAGCTCATTAGAGGCCTAGCTCATACAAAGCCTAGCTCATACAAAGCTTTGCACATACAAAGCCTAGCTCATTAGAGGCCTAGCTCATACAAAGCCTAGCTCATTAGAGGCCTAGCTTATACAAAGCCTTGCTCATGCAAAGTCCAACTCTTACGATGTCCAACTCTAACACTAACCAATTCTTACATAGACCAACTCTTACACTGACCAACTCTTACATTGACTAACTCTTACACTGACCAACTCTTACACTGACCAACTCTTACATAGACCAACTCTTACACTGACCAACTCTTACATTGACTAACTCTTACACTGACCAACTCTTACACTGACCAACTCTTACATAGACCAACTCTTACACTGACCAACTCTTACATTGACTAACTCTTACACTGACCAACTCTTACATAGACCAACTCTTACATAGACCAACTCTTACATAGACCAACTCTTACATAGACCAACTCTTACATGACCAACTCTTAGATAGACCAACTCTTACACAGACCAACTCTTACACTGACCAATTCTTACATAGACCAACTCTTGCATAGACCAACTCTTACATAGACCAACTCTTACATAGACCAACTCTTACACATACCAACTCTTACATAGACCAACCCTTACATAGACCAACTCTTACATAGGCCAAATCTAACACTGACCAACTCTTACATAGACCAACTCTTACATAGACCAACTCTTACATAGACCAACTCTTACATAGACCAACTCTTACATAGACCAACTCTTACACTGACTAACATAAATAAGCCAGGTTAAATTCAAGCGTAAACAATGTCTGAATGACATTAAAACAAATATTTGAAGAAATGAAAATGTTCACTGGTTTACTTGAAACGAATTGAAGGCATACTATTTAAGGGTGCAATGTGTTGTCTATATTAATTTGGCAATTTTTCTGGTGATAAAGTTCATGTTTTTAAAGGTGTCAAAATCAATTTTTCTGTTGAAGCAATTTCAGTAGCGATCAGTCAAAAAAAAAAAAAAAAACAAACAAACAAACAAACTCCAAGGAAAACTCTCCTTTTATACGCAATGAACAAACTATCAAACAGTTCCATTGTTGAAACTAGCTTAAAGTATCAATAGTGTTGTCTATCTGATTCACCTGACGTAGTCGTGTATAGCTTCAATTAGTTATGATCTTGAAAATTAAAGTCGCAGCGATTGCATGTTATTTCATAGTACTCCACTCTCATTATTAAGTGGGCCGCCACATGATTTCAATAACGTCGACCGGTACGGACAATAACTTGACCAGTGCGGCCAATGATTTGACCAGTACGCCGATAACAACTAGTATGGCCAATAACGTGACCATTACGGCCAATAACTTGACCACTATGGCCAATAACTTTATCAGTATGGCCAATTGGTTGACCAGTGTAATTAATAACTTGACCAGTATGGCTATTGTTTTTTTTTTTTTTTACTATTAATTATTTCCCCAGCTGAGGCGCAAACTTGAGATGGCTCTGAACAGGAACGTGGCTCCAAGCACCACCCGCAAATCAAGCAGAGANAAGCCTTAGGAACCGAAAAAAAAAAAAAAAAAAAAAAAAAAAAATCGTCTCTAAATGATTATTCTATTTCGTATGAAGCCATTAGGATGTTTACTTTGAAACTAATGTACACATATCCCCCGCCTACAAGTTCTTAAACTTAAGCTTTTGGTTCTACCATCTTTAAAGCTAAATGGCGAAGTTTTAGGAAGATTTCTTCTTTAAAAAAAAAACAAAAAACATATATATATGGTAGATTTCGATCGTGCCACTTTGTTTAAAAGTGCTGCCAAGTTGAATTCCATGACTGTGGTCGGCTTGTACACGGTACTAAACTTTGGCAAATGACCATAGGTTCTTCAGCCTAGCGGGGCATCTTGCATGCTGAACACTTGTTAAGTTTCCTAGATTCAAACTAGGGCAAGGGTCGACAAAGTTTGATCGTTTTTTTTTTTAAACCGAGCAGCTATTTTGATAAGTTACATCTGCTAAGGATAGGTGTTGGGAGCCGTTTGTCATAATAGATAAATATTTTTTTTTAAAAGGGCCGATTCTGTTCCTTCAAAGAGCCGCTTCTGTTCTTTCAAAGAGCCGCTTCTGCTCCTTCAAAGAGCCGCTTCTGTTCCTTCAAAGAGCCGCTTCTGTTCCCTCAAAGAGCCGTTTCAGTTCCTTTAAAGAGCCACCTCTGTTCATTTCAAAGAGCCAACTCTGTTCATTCAAAGAGCCTCTTCTGTTCCTTCAAAGATCCGCTTCTGTTCCTTCTAAGAGTCGCTTCTATTCCTTCTTCAATGAGTCGCTTCTGTTCCTTCAAAGAGCCACGTCTGTTCTTTCAAAGAGCCGCTTCTGTTCCTTCACAGAGCCACATGCTTCTGACCACTGAACTAAGCTATGCTGACCCATCGTAGTATTATCGTAACATTTTCTCCTTAACTTTATCATCTAATAATTTGCTCCGTTTAATAGTAAAATAATCTTTTATCACAGCTGGTAAAATAATTGTTAAACATGTCTTGACCTATTTAAAAACTGTATAATAAGTTTGTTTCTAAAAGTCCAGTTCTAGTGCATCTGCCGTACCACCAGTAAACACCAGTCTCTATATTTGTCCTCAGACTCGCAGCGCCCCGACACAGTGACCTTTACCTTTGGTCCAAGGCTCCGGGCAACAATCTCCAATAATTTGAGGAAAGCGGTCCTCATTGTTCGGATTCGACCCGTGAAGAGCAAGAGGCGACAAGGCAAAGCCAACATGAAGATCGCGGCAGAGTCCGAAATCGCCGAGAAGATACGAAACGTCACTTCGGAAAAGGCCATTAAGAAGGAACTGCTGCTCAGAATTCGCCAAACGCAAAATCAAGACGATTACGATTACGAAGAGAATCGATACCCCAGTGGAGAAGAAGACAACGAAACTAGAAAAGGTTCGGACGTCGCCCCCCGAAAATCCAGCACGCGGGGTCAGGACAAGAAATTGCGTGAGCTCCCGACGGCAGACGTCAAGGTTGTGATTAAGATAATTGATTCCGTGACCGGAAAAAAGAGAAGGCTTACGGCCAGCCAGGTGGACGTCAAAGAGCCTTCCGATGTCAAGGTGACACTCACGAAAGAGGTCAACGAGGCGCTCCACTCCCCCAATCACACGCTGACCCTGCAGGTCACGTGCAAAAGATGCAAGCGGCGAGTCCACCTGGAGAAGCTGTTCAAGACGTCCAAGCGGAAAAATAAAGCGAACGGATTGAGAACGCGTCGCCTGAACCCCAATCGCCCCTACCTGGTGATCACGACCAACGAAAACTCAGCGACGGAGAACAATAACGCGAAGTCGATTAGGGACAGCCGGTCTAAACGGCATGCACCAAACAGCTGTCCGGAAGGTGAATATCTTCAGAAATTTTTGCTGCTCGGCGAAAAGTCGGACACTTGCTGTTCGGAAAGAATTTACGTCACATTCGATCAGCTTGGTTTAGACGATGTCATTATATTTCCGAAAGGCTTTTCTACGGTGAATTGCCTGGGCAGTTGTGGACGTAGCGTGTCGGCGCTGCATCCGAGGACAACGTCAGGAGACGAACTTAGGACGGCGGACGAGGAACTCCGTCGCAGAGCCAGCGGGGAGACCCGTGTTGGGGACGTGTCACCGGGTACCGTAGGTAACACAAGACAATGCACATCTATACAAAAGTCATCACTAGATTTATTTTATCTGAATGAGAATAACACCGTCATTCCCATGAAGCTGGACAATTTTATCGATGAAGCGTGTGGCTGTTTATCGTGACCTTTTGAACCCTCCTATACCTCACATCATTTGAAATAGTTGATGAGCTCTTAATATTTTTCCCTCCCGAAATCAGTTAAAAATGGAACATATTTCAATTGTTCTTCTTCACTAGACAAGAGTGCGCAGATTCAATACACTATAGCCAGTAACGATAAATATGAACCTGGGGCTAGTATTCAATCATTGTAAAAGCATGGCGTCTTATCATGAAGGACGACGAACTCTTCTGTCATGAAGTTAACGAAAATCACTTGATTCCGAACGGTTTCCGAAATAGCCCAAAAGTCGCGATAAATTTTATTCCAATATTTTATCAGACTTTTAGTTTAGGCCTTAACCAAATTTTCTTCATTGATATATGTGATCTGCGGGCAGTCCCATCTTCTATATCTAAAGCAGGGAACCAATCTTCAAGCTATTCTTTAAGTTTTATTTCCAAAGTATTAGAACTAAGCTGCTCAAATCTTGCAGTTAGTATGAAATGAAATTCACATTTACGAGAATCCCCGCGTCTTACAAGGAAATTGTAATAAAGCGTGTGTCACAATGAAATTATATTAAGCCAATCAGATGTCTTAAGTAATCCACCCAAGAAGGCCAGTCGCGACAGTCACCCCCAGATTTATTGACTTAATTTCTATTCACTCCACCCCCCACGGTTAACAAAAGTCCCTATGACCAGCGGGAGATTAAGCGTGAAGAATTTCACTTACGAGATCCTCAGCTTTCTGGCTACGATTTTTTTTTACTGAAGGAATTCAAATGTACCACATTTGCGTTAGTGCGCTTTGTTGTTACCAGCTTTTAAGTGAGCTCCATTTTCTCTGAAGCAAGTATTACAAGGACAAAGAGTAGTGTAATTAACATGGACCTCCACCAGTCGGCCACACGTGTCTGTGTTGCTAATGTTGAAGGACTCACCATGGGACTGCATCTAGAGGTTGGAATGGGGGCTGAAAACAACTAAGAGTTGTCTTATTGTTTCGGAGCTAGAGGGGCTGAAATTGAATTATCTGACGCGGTCCTTCAAAGATCTACATCGGGAGTAAGTTGGTGGTGAATTGTATATAATTTAAATCTGATTTAAATCTGAGCAGCTCCCTCGGATCATATAACGTGTTCCTTTCTTTTCTAGCCTGATCAGAATTATTAAAAAACTTCCTTAAACAAAATTCAACTTGAAAAAAAAAAATGAATATCAAATTAATATCCCGCAGAATAAGAAATAATATCAGACACTAAAAGAAGTAGTGCCAGACAGTGTAAGAACTAATATCAGACGGCATAAGAAGTAATGTCAGACAGTATTAAAGATAATATCGGGCAGTATACAAAAATATTATGAGACGGCATCAGAAGTTAAATCAGACAGAAGGTTCGCTGTCTGTATTTGTGTCTGTATTAATGACGACACGACCTGCATAATCCACAAGCTATCGCTTTACTTTTGGTGACGGCTAGCATCGCCATCTCTGGGGCTGAATTTTAAGAGATATCAGGGGATCCCAGTATGTTATATATGCTCTAATAAATCTATTTATCAATGAATCTATCATGAACTATACTTGACTGTGCAATAACTAGCATTACATAGCAACATTCATGGCGTATTTTCATCAGAATAGTGTATGCCAAAGATACATTTACATTCAAATATCAGGAGATGATTGTGGATATTTTCTCATAAAGACTTTCACAAAAGCGGGAAGGAGGGTAGTGACGTAGGAAGAGGCGGTTCAATCCCAGAGGAGGGGGGAGGGGGGCCATTTTTATATGTACATGCAGGGGCAGAATCTTCGACCAACTGCATTGTATCAGCAAAAATCTTGGACTGCCGATTCCGCACTTACCTTAGCTACGCATTTGGAGGAGTGCACCTTTAGTTGTCATCACAAGGAGATTAAGCCGTGATATCATTTCCGGTTTTTATCTCCCCCCCCCCCTCAACTAGCCTTAATATTAACTTCCGGTAGCTAAGATGAAAAATGGGATCAGTATTATTACACAATGGATGTATGGAGATAGATGTTGGCTGCATCCATCAATAAATATGATTTTAGGCAAGCAGATGCTTCTTTGGAGGCGAGTGTGCTTTAAATAAACTTAAAGGTTCAAGGCTTAAAGTCAAGATTACTTCACAACAAAATGAACCATAAAGAGCCGATTGAGTGTACGATAATTGAAGCACCACCTCCCTGTCTCCCCCAAGTGCTCTTCACGTTTCTATTGGTCTATATTGATCATCAAAACTGCAGAGAGCAGAAGTGGGCTCTGCAAAAAGCTTCTAAAACTAGAACTAAAGAAATGAAGTTAAATATTTTTTTAAAAATATCGGCATTATTCAGTCAATTAATCCTGTTAATTTAAACAGCTTTGGAATAGTTCAGTAGAAGAGATTTTTCTTCTTCCTCAATCTGAAGAACCCCACAAATTTAAAGTTTACAAATCATAAGAAAATATGCTGCTGATCTAAAAAATATCACTGATTTTAGCACATATGTTTTGAATATGTGCTCAAGGTGTAACTGTCTGAGAACATGTCAATGTGCAACTACATGTGTATTAACTTATTTTCATAACGAAATTACTTTTTTTTTGCATGAACACAAAGGAACTATGTTTTGGTCTCTCATGGCATTACTGCAATGTCCCCCTAGGGTTTCATGACTTACTGCACTGTCCCCCAGGGTCCCATGGCATTACTGAACAGCCCTCTGGGGTTCTATGGCATACCATACTGTCCCCCAGGGTACCATGGTATTACTGCACTCCCACTCCCCCTAGTTCCCATGGCATTACTGCACTCCCCCTAGTTCCCATGGCATTACCGCACTGTCGCCCAGGGTCCCATGGCATTACTGAACAGCCCTCTGGGGTCTGGGTTCGCATAGCATAACTGCACTGCCCGATAGGGTCCCATGACATTACTGCACTATCCCCAGGGACCCATGGCATTACTGAACAGCCCTTTATGATCCCACGGCATTACTGCACAGCCCTCTAGGGTTACATGGCATTACTGCACTGCCCCATAGGGTCCCATGGCCTCTTGCACTGCCCCCTTGGGTCCCCATGACATTACCGCACTGCCCCCTTAAGTGGATGTCATTACTGCACTGTCCCCCAGAATCCCATGGCATTACTGCACTACCCTCTTGGATTCCATGGCATTAGTGCACAGCCCTCTAGGCCCGATGGCATTACCGCACAGCCCTCTAGGCCCCATGGCATTACTGCACTGTCCTCCAGAATCCCGTGCCATAACTGCACTACCCTCTTGGATTCCATGGCACTACTACACAGCCCTCTAGACCCCATGGCATTACTGCACTGCCCCTAGGCAAATGTGTAATTTATTTTGATATTTTTTTTTTACTGCTAGTTTTTCCGTGGCGTTACGGAAAGTGCTGTTACGGGTAAATGGTGGATTGGGCCATATGTGTGCACTGTGCTGACTGAACGCATGCTAAAGTCACTTTGGTAGTGGTCGTCACCACACATATACGCCTCGTTGAAAGAAATGTTATGTTTTTATTAGTATTGAAATTTGACAATAATCGTGTCTTTCATGCATTTTATACTTTGAGATGTTGATGTGTTGAGTTTTAGAACGTAATTGATCATAATGTTTGCGATTTAGTGTGTAGTCTACATAAAGTTGCAAGGTGTGTGAACACCGCATCACAACACAATATTGCATAATAAAAGGCACAACTCACGCAACAACAACAAAAAAAAAACAAAAAAAAAAAAACGCATTTTGAACTTTCTTCGCATAAGTTAGCTAAATTATTTATAAAATAATTTATTATGAAAAAATTGAAAAAAAAAAGGAAAAAATCACCCAAAAAAAAAAAAAAAAAAAAAAAAAAAAAAAAAAAACGCATTTTGAACTTTCTTCGCATAAGTTAGCTAAATTATTTATAAAATAATTTATTATGGCAGCCAATGAAGACTAAAGTTGGTGAAACCAAATATTAATTTATATGAAAATTCAGGTATCTTTGTCTTTCAACGCTAATTTATCGTCTACGACAGCTAAGCTATTGGCTGCAACAGCTTAAGACATAGTCTACAACATCTAATATATGGGGTAAAACAGATGAGCTATTTCTTACAACAGCTTAGCTATGGCATACAATGGACGCTCGTGATACATTGATAAAAAAATATATATTTTAAAAGAACACCATGAATTACCCTCATTTCAAATTAGTACGACTTTAGGGGAGAGGTGTCTTTTCAGTTGAAAAAAGTTTTTTAAAAGTTTTTTTTAACCACTTGAAAGTTTGTTTTAAGTTTAAGAAGCAAGTATGCCATTGAACATGTAAACGCTGTCGCTTAGTCCGTAAAGATTTGGCGTGGGTGTAGACAGGGGTGGATAAAGCAAGGTACATACAGTGTTAGATCCATGATTACAATGTCTGGTCGTCGGACCAATAAACCGGACATTACTTTTCAGTTAGTTCCTGGCAATGGTCGGTCACAACTCGCGATGGGTATCAGCGCCTTGCCATAAGTCACAACTCGCGATGGGTATCAGCGCCTTGCCATAAGTCACAACTCGCGATGGGTAGCTGCGCCTTGCCATAAGTCACAACTCGCGATGGGTATCAGCGCCTTGCCATAAGTCACAACTCGCGATGGGTAGCAGCGCCTTGCCATAAGTCACAACTCGCGATGGGTAGCAGCGCCTTACCATAAGTCACAACTCGCGATGGGTATCAGCGCCTTGCCATAAGTCACAACTCGCGATGGGTATCAGCGCCTTGCCATAAGTCACAACTCGCGATGGGTAGCAGCGCCTTGCCATAAGTCACAACTCGCGATGGGTAGCAGCGCCTTGCCATAAGTCACAACTCGCGATGGGTAGCTGCACCTTGCCATAAGTCACAACTCACGATGGGTATCAGCGCCTTGCCATAAGTCACAACTCGCGATGGGTAGCAGCGCCTTGCCATAAGTCACAACTCGCGATGGGTAGCTGCGCCTTGCCATAAGTCACAACTCGCGATGGGTAGCAGCGCTTTGCCATAAGTCACAACTTATTTCACTGATTTACGATTTAAAAAAAAAAAAACGATGTCTGAAACTTTTCAAAATTGAATATCTCGTACATTTTTAAACATGGTTTATTTTCTTCTTTTAAGGAATCCAGGGAGAATATTTTGAACGATTAAGCACTGTTCTAAAATCTGCCTTATATGCAGCATTATAATTGAATTACAGACGCCATTTCTCATTAGTGACAGAGGGGTTGGGGGAGGGGGGGAGGGGGGAGATAACAAACTTCGGTAAAATAGCTATAGTTATGCAGTGCACAAGAGATTAGAATAATCTAATTGATTTATGCACTAATGTTTTTTCAAACGGAACAAAGACCATTACACATTACACTTAGGTTTATGTTATGATGAAATCTTTAATGAATGCTATTTATTTAATTTATTTCATGCATTCGCTTGTGCATGCTTTAATGTTTTATGCTTCTCCAGATAATGACAATCACCAGACATTTGAATTTGACCTAAATTTATTAAGGGGGTTTGGGGGGGGGGTGTCAATTATAGTCTGAAGTTATCCTTTATTTTCTCAATTTAAATTGTATGCAATGAATATTAACTAAAACTATGCTAAATTAAATATAATATAGATAAAATATGATCTAGATCGAGCTTAATTAGGTCATGAAAATAAAACTAACTTTAGATAGATCAACACATGCATTGCTATCAACCGATTAGCGCTTCGAAAGTTAGGGCACCAAATAGTGTTGAGTGATCTTTTTTTTTCCTTCACTTTCTTGAAGACTGAATGGGTATTTATAATTGTAAGATTCTGCTTTTGTAAAGTGATATGCTATTCTATAATGACCACCATAAATATTTATTTCTATTCGATCATTTGCCATGTGTTCATAATTTATTGTTTTGTCAATCTTGTCATTTCAAGACAATGCGGAGCAAATAAAGAATACAACTGGGAGAATTGTTTCAATGCCTGTGTCAATATTCATGTCCATGTCCAAATCTGTGCCCATGTTGATGTCCAAATGTGCTCCATTATCTGTGTCCATGTCTACGTCGATATATGTGTCCATGTCTACGTCGATATATGTGTCCATGTCTACGTCGATATATGTGTCCATGTCTACGACTACAGATATGTGTGTTTCTAAGTCTATAAATGTGTCAATCATATGATCGAGGGAGGAAGTGAGCGTTGAGGTTAGGCATGGTAAGCCAGGAAGTGGGCTCTGCGATGGAGGCATGGTAAGCCAGGAAGTTTGTTTTAAGATGGATTCGGGGCTAGCCAAGAAGTGGGCTTTAGATGGAGACATGCCTAGCCAGCAAGTAGGCTTTAGATGGAGGACTGGTTAGCCAGGAAGTAGACTCTAAGATGATGGTATGGCTAGCCAGGTAGTGGGCATTAAGATGGAGGTATGGCTAGCCAGGTAGTGGGCTTTAAGATGGAGGTATGGCAGGCCAGGTAGTGGGCTTTAAGATGCAGGTATGGCTAGCCAGGTAGTGGGCATTAAGATGGAGGTGTGGCTAGCCAGGAAGTGGGGACTAAGATGGAGGTATGGCAACCCAGGTAGTGGGCTTTAAGATGGAGGTATGGCAAGCTAGGTAGTGGGCTTTAAGATAGAGGTATGGCAGGCCAGGAAGTGGGCTCTAAGATGGAGGTATGGCAAGCCAGGTAGTGGGCATTAAGATGGAGGTATGGCAGGCAAGGAAGTGGGCATTAAGACGGAGGTATGGCTAGCCAGGAAGTGGGCTTTAAGATGGAGGCATGGCTAGCCAGGACTTGGGTTTATAAGGTATGCATGGCTAGTAAGGAGGGCAAGGGGCTTTGAGGTTAGGCATTTTTGGCCAGGAAGGGGACTTAAAGAGGAGCTACGGACTACCTTGGATGATCGGAGAATGCATACAATGCAGGAAGAGTTTCTAGTGTTGAAACAATATTAAAAAAAACATACGCTGGTCCTGTAAGTGATACATTTGTATGCCCTTCTTTTAGATGTATGGAAATTAGGCACCTGTAGGTTTATGACCACTGGCCTCACCATTAAGGGTCTTTGGGTTCGTGACCAGTGGGCTCACCATTAGTACGCCTGCAGGTTTGTGACCTTAGGCCTCACCATTAAGCGTCTTTGGGTTCGTGACTAGTGAGCTCACCATTAGGACGTCTGTAGGTTTGTGACCTTTGCATCACCATGAGACGTCTGTAGAGTCATGACCATTGGCACCCGCCATTAGGAAGCTGTAGAGTCGAGGACTTTGACCTCACAATGCTGTCTCCGATTTCTGATGTAAAACGTGCCAGAGTTTAAAACCTGCTAAATACAAAGGTTGATGGGAATGAGAGGGAAGGAAGTGGGTGGTTACATTAGCTCCTGGACAGTGCCGGCCATACGGTTGCTGGCGCCCTCGGGCAAGCTTACCTCTGGCGCCCCATTTTAAGTATAATCAGAAAAATGTGTGCAAGTAAAAAAGTGGGGACTTGAAAATTACTTTATTGTATAGGTAATTTTCTTTACAAATAATGAACAATAAAAATGTCTTTCTTGACTTGTATTTGGACAGTATAAGCAATGAGCCTACCGTGATAAAATGGATGGAGGAAAAAAAAAAGGGGGGGGGGGGAGACTGCAATCAGGTTAGAAAAATTGATGAAAAACAAAATAGCGGTTTGCAAACAATGGTGTGGACAACGGTTTTCAGGTAAGGGACGGTTTCCTTTGCTTTAGCCGCAATGTTGTCTTGTGTGCGTCCTTCAAATTCCTAATCTCTGTTTTAAAAATTATCAATTAATTAAACTTTTCATTTTATCTCAACTTTCATAGAATTGAGTACCTTTAAAACTATGCTTGCATCAATATTTTTTTTAACAGTTTAATCATGATGCCATCATACAATTTATAAGTAACACATTATCCTAATTTAAAAAGCAATCTTTTTATATCATGAAATATAATTTAAGAACTAATTCCCAATGTTGATGCATTAAGAGCAAAGGAAACTGTTTCAAAACAAATACGATTTTATAATGAAATACTGTAGGCCTGTAACGAGCTTAACCTTACTATACGGATCGTCCAATGTCTCGAGCGTGGATATAATTTATTGGTTCCACTAATTATAATCGATGGAAGGCACAAGTGTGTAGTCTTTTTTTTTTTTATATATAAAAAAAAAAAAAAAAAAAATTTTTTTTTTTTTTTTATATATTTTTTTTTTGTGGGGGTTTGGGGGGGGGGGGGGGATATGCCTGAAAGAAACGCTCTCAGTGTGAGTGAAGTGAGTTCAGATCCGAATGTTAGGTCAAACGTTGTTCCGAACTAGAGTTAAGGTTTTTGTCACAAAAACCAATGACAATGGTAAATTTAGGGCCGGCGCTAGGTGGTGGTGAACGGGGCGTCCGCCCAAGCCCATCGTTTACATTTGATCCAGTCTCATCATTAGTAGTGATGAGCCTGCACTGGTTTATTTACACCAATTGTTTGGGTCTAATTAATCTACTAGAGAGCTTGATTGCAGTCCAACAATCTTATTACTATGGAACATGTAGTTTTGAGAAGGTGTAATCACGATTTTGAGATTTTATGAGTACAGCAATGTCTCAAAGGCATTATTTGTAGGATAGCAATGTCTCAAAGCCATTGTTTGTAGTACACCTATGTCTCAAGGGCATAATTTGTAGGATGGCAATGTCTCAGAGGCATTATTT